AAGATGCACATCTGTTCCGATGTTGAATCATCGTTTCATTGTTGACATGGACGGATGACGGAGGTTTGGCTGAACCAGGGGCAGCCAGGAAGAATAATCTGAGTCTTACTTGCGTTAACCTCAAGGCTGAAATGTGTACATGCGTTCTGCATAGATGTTCAGGATCTCCTGTAGGTCGTGTTCAGTGTGAGCGACGAGGGTGAGATAGACTGCATCCTGAAGATCAGCAATGGAAGCTGCCGACACCTTTGTGCCTGCCTGAAGTCGTCTTATGCTGAAAAGTTCCTTCATATGGTACTGGATGTCCACCCCGCCGGCTAAATTGATACTGGCAAGAGTAAGGAAGGCAGCCAAGAAAATGGAAAACCGAGTTGTTGCCAGTGCACATGTTCTTTTTGCCACCGTTTGGGTGGGGAAGAACTCAGACTGGGTGCCATTATGCAGGACACTGCCGTTCATGCCATCGTGTTGTTACCTCACAATGGCTATGAATTTTTGAGGACCATGTAAGGTCATAGAAGGCCAGGTACAAGTCATGACACTATTCTATTCACTTTTGTTGTATGTGGTGGGAAGCAAAGATCATGTCAGTGGTACCGTGTGATGGTCTAAAGTCACATTGAGATTTTGGAAGGAAGTTTTCCGCCCCTGGAAGAAGTCTGTATAGGAGGATTCGGGCAATAATCTTGCCAGCTACGGATAGCAGCGAGATCCCACGGTAGTTGCCACAGTCTGACCGGTCTCCTTTGTTCTACTGGATAATGACGATGGAGGCGACTTTAAGATTTGTGGGATTTCCTCCTCTTCCTATAATTTATACTCTCCAGGAGAGAGTGGAGACGGCTGGTAAGTAGAGGTCTTCCTGATTTATACACCTCGGCTGGGATTCCATCAGGCCCTGAGGCTTTGTTATTCTTCATCTATTTGACGGTAATAGCTACCACATCACGGGATGGAGGATACCCGAGGTGGGTCAGCTTTGGGTGCTGAGGGACCTGCTGGGTAGTCAGGACATCCACACCGGTGTTTCGGTTGAGAATAGAATAAAAGTGCTCCTTCCAGCACTGAAGGATACCCTCTTGTCTTTAACTAGGGAGTTACCGTCGAATGAGTAGAGGGGAGTCGCGTCACGAGTAGTTGGGTCACAGATTGCTTTAGTTGATTTGAAAAATTCGTGCATTGGTGTTGATCAGCAAGTTTTTTCGTTTCACGCACTTTTTTAGTCCACCATTTGTTCTTCATTTCCCGAAATTTGCACTTGGGCATTGCTTTCTTCTGGCGGAAGGTATCAGCTATAATCCGAGACCGAGGGTCGTTCTTCCAGTCAGTGAAAGCAGCACGTTTACCATTGACGAGTACGTCCATGTCCTGTCGGTTTTCATCAAGCCAATCCTGGTGTTTTCTTGTAGTTCGTCCAAGGGTTCATTGCAGTTTTTGTGGTGACAGTCTTGAGACTACCCCATTCGGCACTCGGATTGAGGTTGTTTGATATTGGGTTGTTTATCAACCAAGTGTCGAGCTGCTCTTTGAAAGTATGTTCTACCGCTTGATCATCCAGTCGCTTGGTGTTGAAACTGCTTCTGGAGGCTTCTTGCCTTTGCTGTTTTGGAGCGACGTAAAGAGAGAGCTTGGCTCTAACATGCAGATGCTTTGCCTCACAGTTGTCTGAACCACGTATGGCTCGAATGATGAGGACATCTCGGCTATCTCTTTCTCTGACAATGATGTAGTGTCAATGAGATGCCAATGTTTTGATCGTGGGTGTTGCCAAGAACTAGTCCGCCTGCCTAAACTAGGTGTTAGTGATAGTGAGGTCGTATTCAGCACACTTGCTAAGGAGTAGGCGATGGTATTATACTTGCCCACTTTGTTTCTTCCTATGGTTCCCTATCATAAGTCAGTATTGAAGTCACCTAGGAGCACAACCTTATCTTCTCTGGGGATAGAGGTTAGCATTCTGTCAAGGTAGATGTAAGAGGCCTCCTAGATATCATTCTCCTCATCCAATGTTGGGGAGTATGCGCTCGTTGACCCCAACAGGCATTTCAATTAGTCTATGCAGGATGGGTTGGCGAATGGCAAAACCAACTCCTAAGATGTGGTTTCTCTCCGCAGCAGGCTTACCCCTCCTGAAGAAGGTATAGCCGGACCCCTGTTCTGTAAGTCGATCCTCGTCTGGGAGCCAGGACTCACTAATGGCTGCTATGTCGATGTTGTATCTAAACAGCTCTTTTTCCACAAGGACGGTTCTTCTTTTAGGATGCTCATTTGTGCCAGTATCCATAAGGGTCCTGACATAGTTGCATAGCTTGTTTTTGTTTTGATATGCTGTGATGTTTTTTACCGCCTTACGATGGCATTAGTGGGTGCGGTTGCTTAGTCAGTGTGAGTTTTAGGCAGGCTATATTTTGGGCACCTTTTCTAATCCCTCCCCATGTGGGGTGAGCAGAGTTACTCCTGGAAAGGGTTACTTAATCGCACTGACAGACCGGATTGCACTGCTGCCTAGATCCCAGTGCATAAACAACCATCTTATCTGTGCCGCCCATGTGCAGAGTTGTGACTAGAGACTCCCGGCAGTCATCTTTGCCTCTCCCCGTCGCCATAGGAATTTTGGAGATTTAGGGGTTTTGATGATGATGAAAAGAATGATGAGCTGGATGATGGCTGCACGTGAGTTGATTTATGTGGTGAGGCAGACTGGGGAGAGGGAGAGTTGAAACGGACTGCCGATAGCCCAGTTTGTAGTGATTTCACCTTGGTAGCCTGTCCATCTTGCAGTGCCTTCATCCGCCGGAGTATTCTTTGGGTTCCCTCTCATTGTTGGTCACCTTTTCTGTCTATTCCGTCTTTGATATCTTACTGGAGCTCTGTAGGCATTCGTTGACCAGAGCATTATCTACCTCAGGGAGCCCAAGCCAGTTTTAGGTATGGAATTTCTTCCACGGCCTTTACTGAAAAGTGTGACCACCAGGCAGTGGTTGGCACTTACCCACCTACCCACCCATCTGCCCACCACACACAACCGCACCACACTACACCACCACTACACACAATTACACTCTACACCACCTCACACTCTACACCACCACACCACACACCACCACCACCACCACACACCACCAAACGCCACCACCACCACAATCAACCATACGTCACCATCACCACCTCACGCCACCACCACCACACACCACCATCACCACCACAACCCATACACCACCACGCACACACCACCACTCACCACCACCACCAGACAACCACCACACCACCACAACATAACCACCACCACCACCACCACACGCAAAACTTACCATAAATCACCACATCACCACCACCACATATCATTACCAGACACACAATCTGCACGCCACCACACCACCCATCACCACCACCACCACACTACCACAACACCACCGCCACTACACACCACAACACACCACCACAACTACTGTACAACACACCACCACCACCTCAACCACCACTACACACACCAACACCACCACCATCACACACCAGCACCACCACCATAATACACTACAACCACCATCACGCACCACCATCTGCACCACCACCGCCACCACACCACCGCCACCACACCACCACCACCACGCCACCACCACACCGCCACCACCGCCAATCACTACCACCACACACGCCACCACTACACACCACCAATACACACCACCACGATACACCACTACACACCATCACCACCACCATAAATCACTACCACACATCACCACCACACACACCACCACACACACCACCACTACACACCACCAATACACACCACCACGATACACCACTACACACCATCACCACCGCCCACACCACCACTACCCACACCCCCACAAGCCGTTGTATCAATACTAGTCTATTTCAGTGAAGGCCCCGCTTGACCCCGGCGTGTACCTTAATATAGACTGTTCTCACTCTCGGTGTGAGTTATGACCGCCCAGGTTATTGTTCTCCACCTGGCTTAGCTTATGGGTTAAGTTATGTTACCTGTACGTTACATTATGTTTGATTAGTTTGGGTTTGTTTAAGTTAGTTCATGTTAGGTTAGGTTGATTTTGTTAATACAGGTTATTTTCTGTTTATTTTGTTAATTTAGGTTACATTAGACTAGGTTTAGTACATATTATGTTATGTTAGGTTAACTGAGATGTTAAATTTCTGAAGATGAATTAGCACTTCTGGTGTCGTCTGGCCACTTCAGGATATTGGAAATGGGGGGAGGGAACTACGACGTATCTCACACGTCGGTAGAACTCTATTCCCAAGTGTATCAGGTACTGTACCTCCGAGGATCTTAAAGAGCTAGTGGGCGTTGTTGAGCCAAGTGTATCAGGTACTGTACCTCCGAGCTAGTGGGTGTTGTCGAACTAACCAAGACCACAAGAAGACCACTTGCTGAGGATCAGGACTGTGTCTACATGGTCAATGATCCTGTGTTGAGGAGCGACCCAGCTGTAGGGTACTAAAGGGCCAATAAGTGAACACCTCTGTGTGACTCAAGGCAGACTGACGGAGGACTGTGCCTCACACGAGAGACCGATGGAGGACTGTGACTCACAATACTGGTGTTCTGGGAGGCTGTGTAACTCTTGGTCTCTGAGGGTGCGAGGATGAGATAAAGAATACTTTGAGAGAGAACGTCATCACCAACCACCCTTGTTATCTGGTTTTCATAACGCCCTCCTTCCTTAACCTCTTATTCGACCTTATGCTCGTCCTTGACTTCCTACTCGCCCTTATACTCTTCCTTAACCTTCCTCTCGACCTCAACATCCCTCCACAACTTTCGGCCTCCTGCTCAACGATAACCTCTTCCTAACTTTCTTCGTTAACCTTGACCTCCTCCCCAACTTCCTCCTTGATGTCTACCTCATCTTTGACCTCGTCCACCTCCTCCTCCACGACCTCAGGCTCTATCCTCAGTAACAGCACCACAATTTCCTGGTCACTTGAGCCTTGGCCCTCCCTATTTCCTGCCAATTATGTCTCAGCGTGTCAGCCATGATGGATGGTGGTTCTTCTACTCCACACACCAAGATGGACTTGATGACCATACTGGCCCTGATGACCATATTGGTCCTGGTGACCATAGTGGCCCTCCTGACCATAGTGGCCCTGCTAACTATAGTGGCCCTCCTGACCATCGTGACCGTGCTGACTATAGTGGCCCTAGTGTACCAGAGTGGCCCTGGTGACTATAGTGGCCCTCCTGACCATAATTGCCCTGCTGACTACAGTGGCCCTAGTGATGGCCACAAAACTCACCATTAACATAAAAATTTTGTTTTAAAAAATAAACAGAGAAAATTGGCCATTTAATGAAAACTCTGCGGAATTTCAGGCTTACGGTCCGCGAAAATTGGGACCGAAATATGAGTTTACGCTGCGTGGTCCTCTAGGTGGTCCTTCAGTGGTTCTCTAGGTGGTCCTCTAGGTGGTCCTCCAGGTGGTCCTCTAGGTGGTCCTCTAGGTGGTCCTCCAGGTGGTCCTCTAGGTGGTCCTCCCGGTGGTTCTCTAGGTGGTCGTTCAGTGGTTCTCCTGCGTGGTCCTCCAGGTGGTCCTCCAGGTCAGGCCTCCCAGGTGGTCCTCAGGTTGGTCCTCCAGGTGGTCCTCTAGGTGGTCCTCCAGGTGGTCCTCCAGGTGGTCCTCCAGGTGGTCCTCTAGGTGGTCCTCCAGGTGGTCCTCCAGGTGGTCCTCCAGGTGGTCCTCTAGGTGGTCCTTCAGTGGTCCTCCAGGTGGTGGAATTTTGAATGAAAAATATAATACGAGAGGAATTTTAAACGTGTATGATAATATATTGTATACTAAAAGCTGTATATGAGCAAGTGTTTTATATTACAGCACTAGGATAATATTACCTATAGTCCCTCCCTCTATAGTCCTTCCCACTATAGTCCCTCCCTCTATAGTCCCTGCCATTATAGTCCCTCCCTCTACTCCCCCTCCCTCTACATTCCCTGCCTCTACACTCCCTGCCACTACTCCCCTTCCCTCTACTCCCCCTCCCTCTACATTCCCTGCCTCTACATTCCCTGGGGCTCTTGCCACTCCCCTGCCACCACCCCTCCTCACCCCCCTCCCCCACATCCCCTGCCCCACACTCCCCACACCACCCCCTCCCTCCACCCCCTCCCTCACATCTCCCTGCCTCTACATTCCATGCCACCACCCTCCTTCCCTCTCACTCCACCCCCCACATCTCCCCTGCCCCCACCCCTGCCACCACCCCTCTCACCCCCTCCCCACATCTCGCCCCCACACTCCCCGCCACTACTCCCCTCCCCACCCCCTCCCCACACCCCGCCCCCCACATCTCCCCGCCCCACACCCCCGCCACCACTCCCCCTTCCCCACCCCCCACATCCCTGGCCCCCACATCCCTGCCCCCACACCCCGCCACCACCCTCCCTCCACCCCCACATCCCCCTGCCCCACACCCCTGCCATTTCATCTCTTCTCTACTCCCCCTCCCTACATTCCCTGCTGATTCCTGCCACTACTTCTACTCCTCTCCCTTGCTATTCCCTCCCTCTACACCTCCTCACAATTACTCCCCTTCCCCGATTCTCTCTTACCCCCCACATCCCCTGCCCCCACACTCCACACCACCCCCCTCCCCCACCCCCTCCCCACACCCTCTGCCCCCCACATTCCCCTGCCACTCACCTCTTCCCCCCACTCCTCCCCCCACATTCCCCGCCACCACTCCCCCTCCCCACTCCCTCCCCACACTCCCCACACCACTCCCCTTCCCCATTCCCCTGCCCCCATATCCCCCTCCCCCACACTCCCTGCCACCACTCCCCTCTACTCCCCTGTCCTCCCCACCCTCCCCCTGCCACTTCCCTGCCACCACCCCACACCCCCCTCCTCTCATCCCCAGAGTCCCCTGCCTCTACATTCCCTGCCACTACTCCCCTTCCCTCTACTCCCCCTCTCTCTACACTCCCTGTCTCTACACTCCCTCTCTGTAATCCCCCTCCCTCTATACTGACCCTCCATCAATCACCACAGCTTATGTACAGGTTCTTAGACAAATGAAGACTATCCCCACAAAATGCTCACCTAAACAATCGCCCCACTGACCCAGCTAAACTTTAACCACCCCAATTCTACCTGAGGGGAGGGGGTTAATCTTCAGGTGACGATGCACCTCGGTACTTACCTGATGATTGGTCCCCACCTTAAATTTAAAACACCTGGAGAAAAAATACTGCACAGTAAGGTTGTTAATTAAATCTGGTGACACATAAAAGATTAGTGAACGATGCTAAACACCCATGATGATTCATGCTCCGTAAAGTTTGATTCGATTTGCCAGAAAAATGTCTCGTGTTCATTGCTTGGAAAAAAAGAACTCCAGTAATTAATTTTTCTCGGATATATTTACATAAGAGTTTGTGCGGCCGATGTGTTCACAGATACATCACATGGACCCATTACTGAGGCGACACATGAGGCTTGGACACAAACGATGCACTCCTTATGACAGTCTTAGGGCCGGGCGTTACCATACAACCTCGTCCTTTCTGCTGGAATGTGTCTGCCAGTCCATCTGATCGTGACAACTTTGACGATACATGTCACGTCTTAGAAGTCCGTGTTGATTAAGGCAATTAACAGGTGACAAGGAAGCCTCACATAAAGGTAACAAGACAGTCTAGCACACTTCAGGAACACAGAAGCCAATCTGTTGAGTATGATAACTCACCACAAGTGTCGCCCCACAGTATCCCGCCTGGAGATTACCTCACCTCACCTCACCTCACCTCACCTCACCTCACCTCACCTCACCTCACCTCACCTCACCTCGTCTCACCTATATTAAATATAATTTAGCTAGCTTATGATAGTAAACGACCTCTTATATGAAACAGTAAATTTTACCATATGTGAATTAAATCCCATTAAACTGTAACAATAAAGAAGCATAAGTAATCGTTATTTACAATGATATATATATATATATATATATATATATATATATATATATATATATATATATATATATATATATATATATATATATATATATATATATATATATATATATATATATATATATATATATACGACCCACAATTACTGTCTGAGGTGTGGGTCCAATGTTGCGAGGGTGTATTACCTCACTAACAAAGCTGACCCCACCCCCTCATCCACCCTCTCACCCCACCTCCCCACTAACCTCCTTCACCTCACCCCACCTCCCCCTCACCTCCCCTCGCTTGCCCACCTCCCTCGCCCACCTCCCTCCCCTCCCCTCCACACCCACCTCTCCCCCTCCCTCACCCACCTCCCCTCCCCTCTCACCCTCACCCCACACCCCTCCCTCACCCACCTCCCTCCCCCACCTCCCCTCACCCACCTCCTCACCCACCTCCCCTCACCCCGTCCTTCACCCACCCCATCACCCCACCCCCTCACCCACCTCCCCCCTCCTCACCCTCACACCCCACCTCCCTCCCACCCCTCCCTCACCCCACCTCCCTCCTCCACCCACCCCTTCACCCCACCCCCTCACTCACCTCCCACCTCCCCTCGCCCCACCTCCCCCTCACCCCAACAAAGCAGCCATTTGGGGACTCCTAAAATATAAGTGAGGGATAATATTGACAGTGTCTCTCTCTCTCTCTCTCTCTCTCTCTCTCCTTCCCCTTTATTATTATTGTTACATTATTATTATTAGTATCATCATCATCGTCATCATCATCATTATCATTACTACTACTACTACTACTACTACTACTACTACTACTACTACTACTACTACTACTACTACTACGACGACGAGATAGTGAAATGTGGTGTGGTATTCCCGTAGACTATAACAGAACACTGGTCGGGAAAACTACTGCTTCTCACACTAGGTATCTGCTCCACCACCTCATGTCCAAATAGACCCCAGTCGGTTAGACCCCCTATCCTAATAGACTCCAGTCCTAATAGACCCCAGTCCTAATAGACCCCAGTCCTAATAGACCCCAGTTCTAATAGACCCAAGTCCAAATAGACCCAAGTCCTAATAGACCCCAGTCCTAATAGTTCCTAGTCTTAATAGACCCCAATCCTAATAGACCCAATGCTAATAGACCCTTGTTCTAAATGCTCCAAGTCACTATTGCTTACACTGAGGCTCTACTATAATTAGATACGTTCACTTAACACCGGTTAGGTTAGGTTAGGTTAGGTTAGGTTAGGTTAGGTTAGGTTAGGTTAGGTTAGGTTACAAAATTAACAGACAGGATCATTGGAAGTTTACCGAAGTTAATTAAAAGTAGAACGATCCTGAAGAGAGAGAGAGGCAGAGAGAAAATAACACACACACACACACACACACACACACACACACACACACACACACACATATGTAACTTCCCCTGTAACTTCACTGTAACTTCCTCTGAAGACTCACATATAATTAAGGAAGTACCAGATATTGTTCAAAGAAACCGTCTGTCTTGGTTCACTTCTCTGAGATGGGTGGACGGATACAGGCAGTTATATGTACAGATATATATTTATACTTGTATCTACAGAGAGGCTGGCCACTTGATCTGGGACTGAGGACTGGGAGCTTGAGAGCAGTGTTAGAGATACTATTTAGATCTGCTAGGACTGAAGGGGTCTCTCAGGCTACTGTTCAGTGTTAGATCAGTAATGTGTGGTGTCCAGCTAAAGACTGACTAGCTATACCAGGGTGGACCTACCCCGGCTAACTGGCAAATGACGTCACGAAGGATGATGCATGAGTCCAAGCTTCTAGAAGCTTCTACCAGTAGGAAGAATTGGCATGAACACCTGAATCAATGTCAGCAGCGTTACTCAAAAAGCTGTCTGGAAATGATCTCGCTTGATCCGTGAATCATCCCTAATTGGCGCTGCAAATATCTAACTAATCTGACTAATAATTTACATCAAATGCTTGGAAGTCTTACTGGTGATAATCAATGTACCTAGTTATCCAGTAAGAGCCATTAATTGAGTAAGTAATGAGCTTCAAAGGTGATACCGTCATATTGAGACATCTCTGGTGGACACACTGTCACCAGACCGTGTACGTGACTAAAGAACATAAGAACATAAGAATGGAGGAAACTGCAGCGGGCCTATTGGCCCATACTGGACAGTTCCATTTTCACCCAACCCCTATTGCTCATATATCCATCCAGCTTATGTTTGAAGCTATCCAGTGTATTCGAGTTAATGATGATATTTGGTAACTTGTTCCACCCGTCCACTACTCTATTTCCAACCAATGTTTACTTATTTCGTGCCTAAATCTAAATTTGTCTAATTTAAAACCATTGTTACGAGTTCGCTCTTGGTTGGATAGTTTGAGTACCTTTGTAATGTCCCCTTTGTTCAGCCCTAACTTCCATTTATACACCTCTATCATATCGCCCCTTACTCACTCTGCAAATTAAGATGCTTTAACCTGTCTCTGTACTCAAGGTTCCTAATGCCCAGGATTAGCTTTGTCATTCACCTCCGAATTCCTTCCAAGGATTCTGCGTCTGAGCAGGCTAAATAAATGCTTACTATATGCTTGCTATGAAAACATCTCTGACCCCTGCGGGTCAATGCAAAATGC